ACGCAACTTTGATACCTTTAGAGCCGTTGGGACACCCTGTATATTACAAAAATATTTTTAAAATGTGCGCTCGGTAGGCATCTGTGGATTCATAAAATAATACTTTTTAAAAATCAAACGGTTTAGCCGCGAACTTCCGTGCCGTATAGCGTGAATAACAGATAAAAAATCAAGAGGGGTTAAGTCGGGGCTGTTGGGGGGCCAGGATCAGACCAGGACGTCCAATGCACATCAAATATTTCCATCTTCAGTAGCAAATGTCCTCTTCTTTGTTCCAACAGTTTGAAGAATCGATTTTGATCGATCATCCGTTAGTTTGGCTCTCACGTAGCCAACGTATAAACTGAGCCAACGTGAGCTCGTCTATGCGCAAGACGCTACGGGAGGGCCCGACCGAAGACGAAGCCAACAGCACATAGCCAAGCAGCGGCGTTGTCGTGCGACAAACCTCCACGCCGCATGTTTTCTGTGTTTGGTCTGAGTGTGAGTGTTATTGGCTTCAGTGGACACTATGAGCCCCAAACCGAGAGTTGACCAGTCAGCCCTGATCGAGGAGGTGAAAAAGCGGCCTTGTTTGTATGCAATTCGGAATGTTCGAGGCGTTTACAATGAGAAGCGCAACGCCGCGTGGGGAGAGATTGGCTCGACGCTATTCAGCGACAAGTGGAACGCACTTTCGCCAGCCGATAAGGACTCTCTAGGTGAGTTCATACTGATACCCATGCAACAACGAGTCCGTTTAACGGCTTTTTTAAATCAGCTACTGCCTCGTTCGAACATCAACATCCCCGCTTTGATCAATCACATATTAATCGCTCGGGAGCAGCATTTAGTAGGTGCAGGTGACGAATCTGCAGGGTGGAACGTTTCACCGGAATAAATTGTTCAATAAAAAACCCAACTGACCCAACGACCCAAAGTAAATAATTTTGTTTCAGTTAAGCACTTGCAGATGAAATGGAAATCGCTGAGGGACAATTTCACTCGACACTTGCGCGTTCAGGAGCAAAGAAAGAACGCCAAGACCCCGCAACCCATGGAGAAATACGTTCACGTGGATCAAATGTCGTTTTTGATGCCGGTTTTCCAAAAGGGGTAGGTAGAAGTCGAAGTATAAACATTCATTGCTTGCAAAATCGCTAAATTCCAGGAGTTTCAGGGACAAAACGGTGTCATCGGAAGAGGGCAAAGACAGCAACGACTCGTGTGCCATCGAGGATAGCTCGCCCATCGAGCAAGTTTCACCGGCCGAAGTGGAGTTCAGTTTCGGTAATGTTCAGCCGAACTGTTTCACCTCCAGTGACCCAATTGAGATCAAATCCGGCATGAGCTTTCTGAGCGAGTCCGATGCCCCGATCAAGAGGGTCGCCAAGTGTTTGGAGGAGCTGAGCAGCCTGCAAAGGGAGGAGAAACTGGAGGATCCAATGGGAAATAAAAACTTTTTACTCTCCCTGCTGCCGTTTATGAAGAAGCTGCCCGACCATCTTAACCTGGAGGTCCGATTGCAATTAATGAGCGTTTTGGAGACTTACACTCTAGGCAAAAATTTGCAACAATGACAATTTCTTACGTTTATTATTTACTGAAGTTAGTTTTGATGCGTTGCTCTTGTTGTTAGCCTTTGACGGGTGTGTGACTGATTCAAAAATATCAAAATAAACCTATATTTTCACTATTTAGTTTTTCAATTGGGTTCACAAAGCAAGTTTCATTCCAAAACTGCACAAAGTTCATCCCGGAACTGCTAAACTTTGCTTCATAACTTCCCTTCACAACATCAGTTTTCATTGTCAAAACTTTTCAGCTTTTATGCCAAACAACAGAATCTTTCATCCCCATCTTCACCTTATCAGAAGAATCCACTTCCTTGCAATAAACAACAACCTGTGGATTCCGCGCGTTTTTCACGTGAAAAGATCACCTTTTTTACAAACTTCTTGTTGGGTATTTCGCCTCAAAAATTTTTCGCAATTGCAAAATCAATCGATTAAAATGCAGGATTAATAAATAAATAAAATTAAACAAAACCAATGTCATGCAGAAATTGTGACGATCTTTCTAGAGCAAAAACGGTTCGTTCTATGTACAAATGCGAAAAAGTCCTAAAAGTCGACAGTTTACAACAAGCATTTACAACAATCATACATTTTGCTCAACGAATATTTACAAGAGCTTTTCGCATTTACTCGTTAAATGAAGTATTCCGTAACGTAATCCACTCATCTGGGTGATTAATTATTTGTCGCCGGCTAAACGGATGATTTTTTTACAAACTTCTTTTTGGGTATGCCGCCTCAATTT